GGCCCTCTGTGTCAAAGAGTCAGTTTGGCTCCCCAGTAGGACACGGCCAGTCACGTTCACCTGTCAGATGTCCAGCACAACCAGACCAGCCGAAACAAGCATCGAAGTCAGAAAAGGATCCTGATGTGGCCCCCATTCCACAAATGTTTTGCCCCAGACTGGAATCTGGAGTGCAATTGGACACGTCTGTGGAGCAAAGCCCCCTCTGCATTTTCAAGCCCCTTTTAGTGTTGATTCAATCAGGACATTGTGTGCCAACACAAACAAGGTGGCACAGACAAACATTGCTGCTGGGATCAACCCTGCAGAGATTTTCAAATTCATTGAATTAGTTTTGTACATGGGTTCTAAAGCTCGAGTTCTAAAGCTGCCAGCAGTAAATAACTATTGAAAGTGAAAACTTTTTTTTTTCTGTGAATTTCCCGAACACAGTCATCACACGGGATAGGTTCCGTACCATATCTTGGAATGTCCATATGAGTGACCCAGAGGAAGACTCTGAAGAAAGAAGCAGACTCAGCCAGAATTAGTATGACACATATCTGACTGAGATAAAGGCCGCCTGTCAGTCTGCCTGCCATCCCAGGAAGCAGCTTTCCATTGAAGAGAGGATGGTGGCCACCAAGGCAAGAACTGGGATGACCTAGTACATGAAAGCCAAACCAATCAAGTGGGGGATAAAGCTGTTTCTGTTGGCAGACCCCAGCAATGGCTATACCTGTGACTTCAACATATATACATGTAAAAGCAGGTTGGTCTCTTGGCTAGGGCTCTCATTTGACTCTGTGGTGGAACTGATGAGGCCATCTTTCCTAGGCAGAGGTTATCACTAGAGTTGAGCCGGATACTCGGCTGAAACGAGTATCCGGTACGGATAAAGCACTTTTGTCGAGTACGAATATTATACGAGTAATACGAGTCAATATCTGTGCTCGGATAAAAAAAAAAAAAAGTTATGTTGAGATTAAGGCTGAGCGATTATCAATATACAATATAAAATATATATATATTTTAAATGTGATATGTAATTAAACCATATTGCATACCGATATAGGCTATTCAGGTTTTGCGCTGTGATCCTTGCTCCAAGCAAGCTGCTGAGTGCTGATCCAGAGCTCTCTGCACTGCTCCCCGCGCCCCAGCCACTCCTTTTTCCACTTTGCGTGCTGATTAAAGCATGTTATGTTATGAAATAAAGTCTTTCACCTCAGCAAAACGGACTTTCTGTCCTGTCACCCGTTATACTGTAACGTTAGTCGTAGCGCACACTCAATTGCACGCGCAAATGCGGCTGCGCGCGCTGGATCGCCTCTGTATAAAGTGCAAAAGAAACTATACGAGCATGCAACACCGTTACGTTGTAATTACACGAAATAAAAGCAATGCAGTTATGATTTTCATTCTATTCACCAGAGCAGTTTCCATGTTTCATAAACAGTTTCTTGTTAGTATTGTGTATTCACTATTCACCATAGAGTAACTGTCGTTTCTATATTTAACCCCTTAATGCCCCTATTTTTCTTTTGTGTTATTTTTTATATTTTTTTAAATGACTGTAAATGCTCATACCAACGTTGATTAAACAAAATAAATAAACCAATGATAAATAATCACAATTACAATTCCAAGGGAATAATCTGCAATGAAGATTTTTGTCATAGCTAATCATGCAGCCCTAAGGTGAAGAAACCTGTTTATTTATTTATTCATTTGTTTGGCAAATGTTTCAAGTTTCAATAAAACTATACTTGTGACATGTCATATTTGCTTTGACTGAACATTTGCTCTCACTTTGCCAGAAAAAATATCGGGATATATTTTGTATATCGAAAATTCAGCCTAAATATATTGGGATATGACTTTTGGTCCATATCACCCAGCCGTAGTTGAGATGAATACTCTTGTTCATTACATTTTACTTCATAATTGGCAGCCACATGTGTTGTATCATTGTTGGCAAAACTTGTTTTGTAGTTCGTTTGTTATCGTGATCAAAACCATTGATCTGAAGCTCAATGCTGATGCTGTCATGTAAATAGTTTTATTTCTTATCAGCAAAAAATAAAGCAATTTCAGATCAACCCATATCAATTGCATGCTTAAAATAACATACCGGTTTAAAGCCCCGCCCATTTCAAGACTACCCGACCCACTTCCGGGTTTAGGCCCCGCCCAGTCCGAGTACAGATACAGATACAGATAATTCATATGGTTAACAGATACAGATACAGATAA